GTCAATCATGTGCAAGAATAAATTAAATAAGCACTTATAAAGGTTTCAAAAAAAGGAAGGAGATCAACGAGTGTGCTGGAAGCGCAGTTGGAAGTATGCAACGCCACAATGGTTCGTCTTCCAAAGAAGCTACAAAAGTTTCTATCCCTCCGGAGTTGGAGAACTGCTGCCATGCCTATAGTTGTTTTCAAAAACTCCTTCCTAACCACAAAGACTAGTTCCATTGCATAATCGACTTGAACAGCATTCAACGACATTCGGAAGACAAAAACCCTCATCTGAAGAGACGCGATGATCCGAAAACCTTAAGTTATCAAGTTAAGTATAACGCAGCAAAATATGACAACTGTTACCGTGCAAATAAAAAAAATAAACAGAAATACGAACCATTGATTGGAAAAAGTATGCTCGCAATGAGTGTAAAAAATATGGTAAACTTCAAATTCATACTGAGCCGTTAGATGATACGTAAATTACCTGTATCACTTATAGACCCGTTGATTGTCGAGTGACTCGAGCCGGAGCCAATAAATCTTCCGTTTTTCCCTGTCGCGTGCAAAAGTAGTCCAGTGGGTTCTACTCCCTCTAGGAACTCGTCGAGCATCATATCTTCCTTCTAGGCGAAAAACTCTGACCATTGGGTCGGTGGTCTTCCTGCAGTGCGTTTGACATTCCGAGGAATCCAGTCACAAACGGCTCCTGTTCATTGGTTGTCATTCATACGCATTACGTGTCCGGCACACCTTATCTTCGACCGTTAGGCGTACAGAGTTGCAACTTTGTTTATTGATCGTTGAGGCAGGTCGGAACTTCGGATCATTTCCCTCAGTTGCATGATAGGGGGTACTTTTAGCTTCGCCCTTTCGACTGCGCTTTCAATAACTCTAAGTGATTTTTCATCCCGTTTACGTAGCGACCAAGTTTCTGAAGCATACGTTAACGCAGAAAGTACGAGTGACTCGAAAAGGTGGACATGGAGTCGAGGGTTCTTTGTTCTCTTCACAGCATCCTCGATGCTCCTGAAGGCTCCCAAAGCCGCTCGTTTCCTTCTGTTCGGCTCTGGATTAAGTCGTTTATCATGTCGGATTCGCGACCTAGATAGATATAACTGGAGCATTCGGAGATATTCGTTCCGCTGAGCGTTAATGGGGCATACGAAACCAATCTGTTTCCCATGAACATAGTAGTTTTTGTGAGATTTAGTCAAGAACCAATCCCTCAACAAAAGTCGGCAAGCAATCGTTTCGCTTAGCTAACGTTTAGAGTTCTAAAGATCAGCAAAGCGAAGTTGGTGTAATAGCCGACTATCAATTTTCACTCCCAAGTTGCCCAATTCCAATTTTTGTATGACGTTCTCGTGGGTGGCGGTGAATAATTTTGGCGAGATGGTGTCGTCTTGCCTTAACCCATCATTTGACGTCGATGTTAACATCGTTGAAGAATGGTGATATCTTGGTTGTCAAATTTCTGCATAGGTCTCGAAAAACCTTTATGTACTGAGTAAGGACTCCCTAACTATCAAGGGCTTCCATGACTGCTTCTATTTTAGTTGAGTAAAAGTCCTTCTTGAAATCGGTGAAAGTGAGACAGTGCAGTCTTCTGTACTCTCGCGATATTTCAATGAGTCTTGTTATCTTGTGGATGTGGTCGATCGTACTAAATCCTTTTCGAAACGGTGCTTGTTCACATGGTTGCACTTCGTCCATTGTTCTGCCAATCTTGTTTAGGATAATTCGAGTGAAGAGTTTGTAGACGACAGAGAGCAGGCAGATTGGGCGATAGTTCCCGATATCGTGTAGGTCACCCTTCTTGAACAATAACGCGGTTTTGCTGGGCTTCCATTAAGTAGGGACCTTGCATTACAGGTAACGTGTAAAGAACTGAGCCAGTGCGTTTACGAGGACTGGCGGAACGTTCTTGAGGCGTTTAGATCACAACCTGTCCGGACCTGGTGCAGTTCGATTTTTCACCGATTCAAAAGCATGCCGGAATTCGGACGGGAGAACCGGTGGTACTACATACCCGTATATCCGTCTTTATTTATTTCACGTAAGAAAAGAAGGACTTGGCTATTGAAAAAATTTGAGTGGTATTGGTGAATGATTTCCCCCATTGCCTTTCTGGACGCTGTAACTGTTCCTTCTGGGCGCCCGAGTGCAGTCATCCTGGTCTTGTAATTGGCGAAGCATCGGTGGGTTCTGCGAATGCTTATCCCAGCCTATGCAGCTTCGACCATTACTGCTGCTCTTCTCTCTTTAAGATCTTCTTTCATCGAATGCCTGCATTGTTTTGCAAGTTCGGACATTTACCAGGATCGACTTTCTCTTAACCTCAGCATACCAATACGAATGTGTCGTTTTCTTGTTCAGCAATCGGAAGGTTGTTAAACAGCATACATCCGCAAACGAATTCCTTACGATTCTGATAATAGTCAAGATAGGATTGATAATGCACCAAGAAAATCTAGGGTCACCGTGATGGGGGCATAACAATATCTGAGAGTACGCGCTCGCTATCAGAATTGGACCCAAGTTTCGCACCATCACAGCTCATTTCTAAAACGACCCTGCGTAGGATAGCATGCAACCTTTATGAGCTTCAAGATCGACTCCGCTATCAGGCCAAGCAAGAAACATCAAATAGAGATAAAAATCAAGAGGAGACGACACTACCACCATCTCCTTTCCCTAAAACGTTTTTTAGACAGCAGGACCCTAACGATGGAGTTGACATAAAATTCCGCACGTTTTCGGACGGCGTTCTCAAGACCCTTGATCACTACCGCGATAGAAAGTTTATCTCTAACCTTACAGCCGAACAAAAATGTGGCATGCTGTGTCAGCTGTGACCCATCATCAGCTGTGTAAACTGGCCGACGGATAGAATAACCTAGATTTTAAGCCTGATACTTACACAACTGCTTAACCACATTCCAGCTCACCTCACAAACACCCAAATGTTCCTAGAACGTCTACGTAACACGTCTCCTAATAGCGCGTAGGTGATGGAGTCTTTCGACTTTACCGCGCTGTACACCAACGTGTCGAATGACTCCGCAATGCAAGCCATCTACGAGCTTCTTGTTGAACATGAAAGAAGAATAAATATGCATAGCTTGCCCATCCAGCAGCTAATGGCTCTCTTAAAGGAGTGCCTAAACTGCTCGATTTTCAGGTGGTCTGGGAAATATTTCGCGAAAATAAGGGGGTTGGCAATGGGACAGTAACTGGCACCAAGTCTTGCCATTGTGTTTATGTCTAAGATAGAAGCCTCTGTTTTCGATCTCTGGCTACTACTCTACTGCAGATATGTAGATAATTGTTTTGTTGTCTTCTCTGCGCTGAAGGAGATGGACAAATGCTTTGAATTATTGAACGAGCAGTCAGAGTACATAAAGCTTAACCAGGAAAAACCGAGAAAAAACTAGCTTCCGTATTTGAACGTCCAAAGAAACCTATCAAGTAGCGGTTACTTGGCAAAGTGGTACCGAAAGCCAAGTAGCGAGAACATTCTGGTTCATTTCCTTTCTTCCCACCCTTCACACACAAAGAGGGAGCTTGTGAGAAACATGTTTCGAACAGCCACCTCTGTGTGCACTACCAGGGAACTAAAGGAAGAATCGCGCGACTTGGCTCGGCAAATAGACATCTCCAATGGCTACAAAATAGTAACCCCACGAGACAAGTTTAGGAGAACGACGCGCCCACGCGAAACACTTGGCCAAAAGAAAGTCCCGTTTACGCTGCCTTTCATTAACGATGAAGTAAGCGTAGCTATTAAACGATGCTTAAGAAGAGCAGGTCTAGAGGAATTGGTAGCGGTAATTGAAATACCACCGACTACTTACGTCGCCAATTAGTTCGCAACCGCCTGTATGACCGTCTGCGTGAAACAACAAATTGCGTAATTTGCCCTTACGGCAGGGACGGTGATTGCATGAGTTCAGGTACGATATACCTGATCTCGTGTAACAATTGCAGAGATGAATATATTGGCGAAACGGGCAGACCTTTGTGTATCCGTATAAGAGAACACCCAGATGGCAAACGAAAACTAAGACGAAACACCCCACTAGGCACGCATAGGATACAAAAGCATAGTGGAGATGATTTTGAAGTAGAAGTCAGTATCCTTGCACAGAAGACTAAAACACCACCACCAAAACTTCTTAAGGCTTTTTGGACAAATGCCAAAAACCCTACAATGAATAGGAGGGATGAATGCCCAGAGGTCATACGCGACCTGAAACCCTGTGTCAGCGTCAATTTCTGATGTGGGATGGTGCAGTCGTCAACCACATGCGATTATAATCAGCTGTTCTAAACTTCCTCATTAAAAGTCACGTAAAATGCGGTGGGTTTTTTGAAAAGCCGTTGATCGTATTATTACCATAGAGTTTTTGTAAGTGTTATTGAAGCGTTTGGCCTACAAGATTGTGTATCAGTATACCCTTCCAGACTCTGAAGAAAGCGATACTGCGAAAACGTCAGCTACTGTTGCATTGTATTGTGTTATTCTATGAAAGTAAATGTATGCTGTTTAACAACCTCGCGATTGATGAACAAGAAAACGGCGCATTCAAGTTCGGACATTAGTTAGCGGTTGCCTGCAGCTCGCGCGATTCCACTCTGGTGTATCAGCTCGAGTGCTTCTGGAGAAAGACGTCTTCTGGTGACTTTCGGACACTCAGTTTTCACAGCGCTGACGTGAAGATAATGAGCCGATGGTATTCTTCGTCGATGTTATCGACAACAGCATCCTTAGAACAGCCGAGTAATGAATTGATTAAGTCCCAGCGGTGGTTTTGGGACTTCGTTTTTTAAATCTATCGGGTTTTTCTTCTTTCCGCCAAAAATTGAATTTTGCCCGAAGGAGTCGGTGGTCTGATCCCGTGTAGAATTTTGAGGCAACAGCGGCATCTGTTAGACAAACCTTCTATTTACTACGTTGCGGTCTATTTCATTATAGTTCTCTCCATTGGGAGACTCCCACATCCAGCGTTAAGGGTGGAGGTTCTGGAATAGTGAGTTGCCATGGATAGTCTTGGTCATCATGATAAATTCAGAGAGCCGCTCACCCTCTTCGTTCCGTTTTAATCCATCGCTCCTAATGCGACGTTCTTCAGACATTGTTCTTAGTCCAGTCTTGGCGTTTGAATCTCCATTGATTACTGAAAAATGTATGGTCTTCTTTGTAAAACTTCTCGAAGTCCGTATAGAACGTTTTACTCCTTCTTCGTCATAGTTTGATGTCGGCTCATAAACGACGAAGATTGTCAAAACTGGAATTGATCCACGTCTTCTTAATCGTAAACGTCCGATTCGGATTGTAAGTAGTTCGAATGAATTGATGTTCATAGACAAACTCGTGTTGACGAGAACGTCAGCACCGCCGACTCCTCTACTTTCGCATAATGCTTGGAACAGTTCCTCTCCGGTGTCATACCGCATAAGTCTTCTGTCGAGGACTCGGATACAAGTGTACGTGCATTGCAGGTCCAGATCGTCACCATAGTTCTTTGAAATCCAGGCATCTTCCATTGGCTCTGAGATTTTAGCAGCTTCTCCGTACTCGTCCTACCCAACGCTGCAAAATTGGAGGCTCCTTCGGGGCCAGGGGAATGAGGCCTGTTTTCTTTTACTATGTTTAGCATTTTTGATGCCCACGTATAGCTTACTGAGTTCGGAACGTGAGAGCTGTGTATACTCACGGGTGGCTTGCCAGGCTTTCTCAGAGTGCATATGGAGCTTATTTGTTGGAGGTGACTCCTAACCGCCTCCCATGTACTTCCTAGTCACTTGATTGCAGTTCTTTGGGCGAATTGACTCGTAGAATACAATCCGCATAAGCAAGAACGCACCCACACACGCATGCATGAATGGGAGTAAAGACAGAAAGTATGTGCCAAATCAGCGCCGCAGAAGCAGAGAGTCCATTTCCTGGATCCATCTGCGTCTCAGGGAAGCAAAGGTCGCTTTTGGTCCCCGATTAACCCCCTATCCACCACCCGGGGACGTGCCACGTAGCCTCGCCACTAACCGGCTCGGTATCCCTCGTATGAAGGAGATCCGTGGAAATACAACATGTTTTTAATTTGTTGAGCTTACACGAGGTTGATACCTATTTCTATTTCTGCTAACGTTTTGTCGTCTTCGTTTTCATCAGAAAATCGAAGGTGAGTTGGGCAGGACACATGCGTATGAACGACAACTGATGGGCAAGAGCCACTAGTGACTAGATTGCTCGGGATGTTAAACGCACTGCATGAAGACCACCGATTCGATAGTCAGAGTTCTTCACGAAGACCCTAGAAGAAAGATATGATGCTCGACGAGTCCCTAGAGCGAGCAGAACCCGCTGAGCTACTCTTGCACGCGACAGGGAAAAGGTGGAGAATTTACTGGCGCCGGCTCTAGGCTCTCAACAAGCAAAGAGACTACAGGCGATACAGGTGATATTTGATCAATAGTTTAGTTTTCAACGGCATTTTTCATAATTGCTATATTAGCAATATAGATCTCAAAATCTGGTATTAATTTTTTTTAATAATGTTATAGTGTCCGAATAGTTGATATTGCTCGGCGCCATGTTTTGATCGATACACATATTATGAGCCAAACGGTATTGCAGGCGTTGATCAGTATTGGAAAAGATGATTTTCTTACCGCCAATGGTCGCTGAGTTCGGGAAACATCTGTTTCACATGAAGATTTGTAAGCTCTGGATTAGAGAGCGAGAATCGTGAGCGTTTCGTTCTTGTGCAACTATCAACTGAAATGACATGATGTGCTACTGTGGCAGAAGCATTCACAACAGGTCCTTCTCTCATAGTGATCGAAGTCGTTTTTACGCAAAATTTCGAGAGTTTTCATAAGAACCATCAATATAATCGTCAATGTGAACAAATTTCAATCGTTCGACAGAATTAATAAATCAAATCTATTGAATAAATCTGCCTACTAAATTTAGATTGACATAATAAAATAGAAGAAAGTAAAATTTATAAATCGACGTCGCGGTTGTCATGATATTCACTATGCATTTATTATACTTAATGTGCATTTAGCGCTCTGTCTCTTCATCAGGAGTGGGAAATATTTCCAGTTGTCGAACTGAGATGCGAAGCGTTGTTTTTCTTCTCGGCGTTTTTAAGTTTAGTTTTTTTGGTAGATTATTTCAACCCAAGTAAGCCTGAACGTACTCCACGGAAAAGCTCGGAGAATCCTTCTTCAAACGAATTTCTTTTTGCCAAAACGGCAAAATAGTGTATCACAGAGAAAAAATGAAGCTTCGTGTTCCTTGAACGACTCTGGTAGGTAATAGGGATTAATGGAGCCCGCCAATCAATTTGATTTAATCTATTTGTGTGTACATTTAACGTACGTCACAGTTGTGAGATTCATACATGTGGATGCTTAGGTGACTCAAATAACAGGTTCTAGCAGCACGCTTTTCTATTCTTTTTGTTGCCCTGCAGTCTTCATCCATGAAGATATTTGGTTGCGGCTGCAGCTCGAGGCTCTGTTTTCATCTCTTCCTTGAAACACTGTTCACTGAACATTGTTGGCTGAATGTTTTTTCTACGGAACTCTGAGCTGAAAAATGTACTTATAACTGGTACTCGCCATTTTTACTGATCGAACGGTAGGTTACTACTTTGCGATTCCGGACGATTCCTCTAGGATGGTAGCTATTCATGTGTTGCAAGCTTGAGATAATTCCACCAAGCGTTCGTTCGAAGACAGTAAAACAAACCAGATATTAAGCTTGTGTATTTATCCCTTAACTGTTAATGATTTCATTACCACTGGGCAATGGGGGATGAGGATCGAACCAATGACCGTGTGTGGATTACAAAGGATTAGCATTGACTCTGTTAGAAGGCCTTATTCAAACAGTAGTGATTCGCATGATAGCTCAACATCTGTTCTTACTTTCTAAAATAGAAACCATAAATCTTTAAATAATGTTTTTATTATGTTATTTTACGGTTCACCAGATAAAAGTTTATTTTTTCAAGGTATCTATAAAGATATGTGGAGACGCGTTTTTCATTAGGGGAAATACTGTTGAGAATGGCGGGCAGCAGAAGTGCCATTTCGCTAAGATTCGACCAAAAAGAAGGACAAATAGTGAAAACGCACGTATAGACTGGAATTCTTAACGAATTAATAATGACTTGACCTATAAGAAGCTCACTTGTGTTCTTGCACCGTCATTAGCGTATAATACGAGCGGGTTATGATACCGTTCTTCAGAAGCACGGTGAGAGTACGACATTGCGTCTGGCTCAGCAATGATCTCATTCCTCCGGAATGACGAAATTGGTATTGGCCTTTTTGCGAACAGTTCACTCTTTATAGCACAGGTTGGAATGCTCCAACATGGCTATCCCAGGATTCTGGAGAGAATCGACTCGACTAGTATTCAGCGACACTCATAAATAAGCCGAAAATCCTCTAGCAGAAGCCCAATACGCACGCGAAGTTCAATGACCTTCATAGTTGATGCCAGCGAGAAAATGAACCGAATGGAAGAAGTGCTGATATAAGCAAAGTATATGTGAAAAAGTAGTGTGTGAAATAGAAAAAAAAATAACTATAAATATATTATATACCATAATAATATATATACCTCACTGAAATACAAAAACGTGGTATGCGAGAGGTACGAGAGCTGATAAGATCAAAAAACATAAGACTATCTGTTAGTGATAAGGGTGGAGAGTTCGTTGTAATTTCCCATCAGTTAGATGTTGAGATAACGGAAAAGCACCTTGAAGATGCTTCCTTTTATCGTCCGTCATCTGAGAAGGAATTTAAAAGTCAATACCGAAAGTTAAACAACGAATGGGTTAAAGTGGCAAGAGCGGCAGGGTTAAAACTATCAGTTATCTCTCATCTCAAAATTGGCATACCAACATGTCCCGTCCTGTACTTACTTATCAAAACCCATAAGTTAGTGTCCAGCGATGATCTCGTGTCTACCGATCCATCGTTATTTAAGGTTAGACCTATCATTAGCTGCGTAGACGGCCAACAGATAGAATAACGTGGTTAATAACTCTAATACTTACTCAGTTGTTGAAGTACGTTCCAGCTCATCTAACGAACACCCAAATCCTCCTGGATCGTCTACGTAACGCGCGACCCAACAGCACGTACGTGGTGGAGTCCTTCGACGTCACTGCCCTGTATACGAACGTGTCGAATGACTCCGCTATGCAAG